TCTACAATTCAGGGGTACTGGAAATTATAGAACATCTGCAATGAAATTGGTTTTCTGTGAAAAACTGATGAATCACTTACTGCCAATGACTAGAAGGAAAAGCACTTGTTTATGCCCTTATGTAATGAATTTTTATGAGGTGAAGTTTGCTGTTTATAAAAAATACACTTTACGCTGCTGTAGATGTAAAATAATAGAATTCAGAATCCAGAGCAATGCATTACTGCAAAGACAGTCACCAACAGAATATTATCTGCTTACAAAACACCAAAACAAGGCTATTACTTCTATAATGGAATTAAAAAAAAAATCCCATCTAGCCAGTTGGATTCTAGAAGAAAAAGTATTTAAAGAGATATAGCTGAAATTGACAGTTCCAAAATTGCATGTATTTTCAAAGAAAAGTTATTAATTCTCTTATTGTGCTCCTGAATTCCGACTGTTTTTCCTCAAAGCAAGAATGCCACAGAACATTTTAAATTAAAAATGGCACTCCTATGATACACTACAAACTTGAGGTGCTGGTCTCTCTATACCATTACAGACATACATATACAAATCTCCCTACAATAATACACAATATCTGTGAGGGGCTCGATGATCAAACTCCAAACTCTCTTGCTTTCTTCAAACATTTCCAGAGCATCAGTATTGTGCCAGTCTGTTTTTACTGTAGTATTAAAAAAAAAGAGAGAGAGAGAGAAAGATTGAACTCACAATCTTACTTTGCTGGTTGAGAGGGTCGTCCAGTCAAAACTGGGGAATATTCTACTAGCCCCAAGAAGATGCACTAAGAAATAATGCTTGCAATATTCAATGGGGCTCTTTGTTCTCAAAGAATTTATTTGCCCTTTATATTTGGTCTGAAGCTAAGTATTTTTAAAGCAATTAATTATAATTTCCATTAGTGGAAAACAACTATAGTATTTTATAATTTGTGTTGACTAAAAAGGCACTCTTACAAATTTATGTGGATTTAGAAGAATAGAGACTATCAGGAGATGGTATTCCCTGAGTGCATACTGAGATGTTTATCAGAGAACCGTCCTGGACACCTCAAAGAACAGTAAAACCTCCAGCTCCACTAATTCAGAATTCTGACTATTTAGATAAAGTCTCAGCTTAAATTCAAGTTTGCATTATCTATTATTGGCAACCAAACCATAACAGTACCTCAAAAATGTCAGCATTTTTGTGTCCACATCTGGAAGGAATATAAAATCCTAGGTCAGCCTCAGTGTCTTGATTCTTAGTTGAGGAAATATAGTCATTTCACAGGCTTGGGCAATTGATAATATTTAATATTCACGTCAATTGCTCTGATGTGATATATTCTAGATATTTTAAAGTAACTAAACTACATTTATTTATATTTATTTGATATTTATTTACCAATATTGTACAAATACTTTTACCCTTTTTTGTCTCATACTTCTAAGTGATTTAAAAAATGCACACACTGAAGACATTTAATATGTAATTTAAGATGCATGAAATAATTCAGACTTTTTCAACAGCTGTGGTTGGCTATAAAGGTAGGCTTTATTTTAATGCAAAAATAGGTACTCTAGCAATTTAGAATCTTATATCCTATATTCTCTCACATAGTCAAAAGACTTGTTTACTAGCTGTGCAGATGTTTTACCTTCGGATTGAACTGAAACAAAATTGGCCATGAGATTTTTTAAAAAATAACTTATTTTGGTCTAATTAAAAAGTATTATATGCTCATTGTAGAAAATTTGGGACATATGGAAAAATATAAAGAAGAAAATCAAAATTGAATTACTGAGAGGCATTTATTATATGACATATGTATCTGTTTATCTCATCATTGAGATCATATTGTACTTAATTTAGCATCCTACTTCTTTCATTTTAGTATCATACTGTGAACACTTTCCCATGTAATTAAAATTATCCATAAATATTTTTGCATAAAGTTCTTTTCCATTGTATTCACGTAACATTGTTTTAGTTAATTAAATAGCTAAAGATTTTATTTCCATATTGTTGAGCATTTATGTTGTTTCATTTATTATAAATAGTGCTACACTAAATATCTTTTAAATAAATCTATACCATAATTCTTATCATTTCCTTCACATAGATTCTTGAGTTCAATGGATATTACAAAAAAAGTCTACATCCACCTGATTTTGAATATCAGTATTACCTAACTAAATAGATTTATGCTTTATTGGTTCTGGGGTTTGGCAAAGGCAGGAGTTGAACCTGTTAATGAGAGTAAATTATTCTACTGCTAATGAGAAGGAAAATGAACTGCCTACAAAATACAAGACTTACATTTTCTGGCCTCAGAAGTGACTTGGTTTAACCTTATTTGACTAGGTATAGTTAGTTGCTAGAATAACAACTCAATTCAGGATTCAGTGAAGGTCATTATACGCTTTTCTTTTTTTTTAAAATAGAAAAAATAAGAGACTACCTTAAAAAATATGAAGGAATATTCTGTATTGTTTGACAATTTACATACCATTTGAAGGGATAAGAAGACATAAAAGTAAAATACTTGCTAACTTATTTGTGGTGATGAATATAACTATACATTATATACTATTAGTTGCAGAGAAACATGGATCAGGTCTACAGACTATATGGCCAATTGGTTTGGCTAAAAAGTACGTTCGGAATTTCTCTGTTGCTGAAAATATCTTTTCTTAATACATTAACACTTCACTTACTGCGTGCTGTTAAGAAAAATAGCTTTTTGTTGAAAGCAAATGTTTCAAGTAAATCAAGATTTTGCCTTTACATGTCAACATATTTTGAAGGCTTTCTCAAATATAGCAATACTAATTTCCCTTCCTTCTTAACCAAATTATACAGAATATGAGGGAGCTTTTACTGATGATCCAAGGTTATTTTTAAACCACAATTACTATTCACAGTTAGTCCTCAGAGCCTGTGTGTTCCTACTCTAAATGTTACCAGATTATAGTCTTTTTGCTTTTAAGTTTTTTTTCTTTGGTACCAAGCTGTCCATTACTGTTTGTTATTGTAAATAAGTCTACTTTTACCAGTTTTCTTCCTCTCTTTTATGTTATTTTTAATCTGTTGGTGAAAGTTTATTAGAATTTCATTTAAAATAAAGCAGCCTGGGGACTTGAGGAACTGTCCCATGAATAGAGCTTTGGTGCATGGACCTATGAAAATCTATAGTTCTCTTTAGGCTTTATTTCCAGGTTCCTGACCATTTTGGATAGTGATACTATTAATGTACTACAAACCTAACGGAAATAACGACCATGTTTGTAACAGCCTTTGACCTGATTTTCTTGCTTTTACTCACACCTCTCCACAAATTATCCAAAGTGATACCTTAAAAATGTTAATTTGATCACATAACTTCTCTGTTTAAAATCTTCCTGTGGCCTCCCCATACTTTGAATAAATCCAGGTATTTTCCCCCCTTGGCCTGCATGGCCTTACGTGACCTGGCCCTGGACTCCTCACCTCACCCACCTCATTTCTCACCTCTTTTTCTCTTGCTCATTGGAATTTCTTGCTGTTACTCAACCAGGTAAGACTCTCATCTGAGAGGTTGGACACCTGCCATTTCTTTATCCTGGCACCTTTTCTCTGCTTGGAATTCTCCTTCAGTTCCTTTAGGCATCTTTTCAAATTTCAACTCCTCAGAAAGGCCTTCATGAGCATGTAATTCAATATAGTATCCCTTGTGACTCTCCATTTCCTTAACCTGTTTTATTTTCTTCAGAGTCTCAACATCTGAAATATACACATGATAAACTATTTTTTTAAATAACAAAACTGAATATTCCTTACACCAATTTTGTTAATAAGAAATATATGTGCAACAAAATGACTGAAATGAAATATATCAGAATATTGTGATCTCTGTTAAAAACAATTATGAGAAATTAAGTTTTCTACAATAATGCAGAATTTTTGAAGTTTCCTAAAACAATCTTTCAAAATTAGAGGAGGAAAAAAAGGGCAAACTTTTAAAGATGTAGAATACTTTCCTTAGGTATCTTATTCTAAATTGAACATAAATTAAACTTATAGTCCATTGAATCACAAAATGTAAACTCCTGAAGGTAACTTTCTTTTCCTGTTTTATTCATTGTTCTATCCCTAGTGGTTACATTAGTACCTTAAGTGCTTATTGAAGGAGGTGAACAGAAAAATGAACTGGCAATGTATTTCTGCCATATTAAATAATTTCATTTTCCTAGCAAGATGTTTATTACATAAGAACTAAGTTTTTCAAAACATTCTAGTTAAGACTTGAGACAAATCACTGCTCAAGCTAATTCTATAATAGTTTAAGAGTTTAAAAAAATAATATGTTGATATTGTGATTTTTACCTGTGTAATAATCAGTTGAAAGTAAATAGCCTTGATTATCCTATGGCTAACTTTAACTCCATGTGAATTATTTCTAACTTTTTTATATCAAAGTCCAATATATTTTATTTTGTATTTTGGTTTATTCTCAAGGCAAAAAATTGAGAATTGGTATAAAAATAAGTGCTATTATTTTGGTGAAGTAACTTAGAGTCCAAATATTTTTCATGTTACTGTTATGTAGCAAAAGGTTCATTTGTAAGCTTTTAAATGAAAAATACAAAGAAAAGGAGTGAACTATAGAGAATTACCTTGATATGTATTGGCATATTACTCTGTTACACACCTCAATGTCTTATAAAACTATCAGTATACTTGCTGAGAATGTAAGTTCTGAATCAAAGGCTACAGAAAGAGACTTGTATTTGGTGTTTTTCATATGGTCCTTAATTGTCCCAGGGTTCATTTCTAAACTGCTTTAAGCAATTTTTACTTTCTGCACATAAGAAGCCAACTATGATGGGGTCTAACAACTGAGGAATGAACCCCTTAAAAATCAGCATAAGAGAAAAGCATAAAATCACAATTGAGGCATCAGATTTTAAGGTTTAAAACAGTGTTGTTAGATTATAACATTATGTCATCTCTGAAATAAATACACACTCATCCCACAGTCTCCCAAATCTTTATCTTTGGAGTCCGACCCCTTTCTAGGAAGTAGTAAAATGAAGAAACGTTCTTAGTCATCTGACAAAAGCTCTCCATTATTCTTGACACTAAAAATTTAATGGTATGATTTAAAAAACATAATATATTAACATTTATATATTTAGAATTATGTGGTTTCCAGTGATTAGACTTTAGTCATGCCTGGAAAGGAATAGAAGACAGTGGCTAAGAAGCACAAGCCTTATAAAGGATACCTAAATGGTACACTTAGGATGACCAATATTAATAACTTAAACATGCTATATTTCCCCTTAGAGGACACAATATTAGTTTCTAAAGAGCATTCACTTCTGACATCTCAATCCCTGATTTCAGTGGCTGCAGACTGTGTACCTCTGTCCCACACTTAGGACAAGTGAAGTACATGTCAAATAAGAAACTACTCTTAACACAATAATAACAGAAGATATGCTGACATCCTATGGTGTGAGGCATGGTGGGCCACTCTCCACATAGAGAACATTTTTTGCCACTGGTGGCTAATGTATCATCACTACTAGGAGCACCAGTGAGGGGAATACACCAAGAAGATAACTTGGCTTTCAACTTCTGGATATTGATAAGTGGTAAGAGAAAAATCAGAAACTCAGCAAAACCATGCCAGAGAAGTTCCCTATTCATATACTCAAAGCCAACTTCACGTACATTTTGAGGCTTACAAAACACAGAACGAATGCCTAAGAGACGTTCTGTCAAAGTTGCAAACTTTCCTCTTTGAAGGAAAATCAAAAAATTAATCAAACCACCTAATTTCAGAAGTCCAACCACAAAATTCATACACTGCTTGACTTTCCCAAATGATGCTAAACGATGGTTTCGAAACAAATCATAGCAACGCTCTTCTAACCACCTCCCACCAATTGTACAAACAGCATACCAGATCTTTTGATTTTTAGTTGGTGGCTGATATCTCAGGTTAGGGGAAAAATCGTTTTTGTATTGAATATTCAAAACTGACTGTCCCACAGTGGCATTTTTGGAGTAGATGGTGAATCTCCACAAGAAAAGCCACAAGAATGCTTTCACCTCTGGTTCAAAGCAGGTTAATAGGCCTGGCTTAAATCCATGAAAGCACTGAGTAAACTGGGACCAAACCAGCTGCTCCAGGGCCTTATTTAGTTCAAGTGCATCCAACTGACTTATTCTTAGCACTCTGTTTGTACTCTTCGTATTCTCTTTTCTGGGAGCCATCTTCTCTGAAGGTTTCTAGGAAAAAATACAATCAAGGAATATCATCAAACAGTTGCAATCTTATACTACCTCCTTAACTTACGATGGGAGAGTTATGATACACAGATTACACAGGACTCATAGAAAATGGGCCTTTTAGTAGTCTGTAAATAGTATAGTGAACAATTGCTTCTTACTTGGCACGTCTTTCTCTCTCTCCTCTCTTTTTCTTTTCTTTCTTCCCCCATGCTTTTTCTATTTCTTTTTTATTCTTGGCCCTCCTCATAAAAGGAATAAAAACTAAAAAAATAAAAAATACAAAACGCCCAAATCCCCACATGCTATTTCCACAAAAATACTATTAAGCAATATTCCTTGATCATATATTCTAGCAGGGAGACATTAAAAATCTGAAGCTAACAGCAATGAGGCCAAATAATAGCATGACTAATGGAGAAATATATGAATGTAATAAATATAATGAACAATAGAAGACTGGAGTTGATGGTTAAGTCAAGACCTCAGTTTAATTTCCAGCACTTCTACTGACTCCAAAAGTATACTGTTCAACAAGTTACTTAATCTTTCTCAAATTTTATATTTATAAAGAAAGTTAGAAAGAAAATTAAGTGAACAATATACATTTATTATTCTATCACACTATTGCAGAAAATAAATACTACCAAATCTTAGCATGAAGCAACAAGAATGTAGAAATGCCATTATTAAGTTACTAAAAATGTACAAATATAGTACTCCAGGAAAAAAAAACTATGATACAAACATTTTTCCTACAATAGTTTCATAAATATACTAAAGAAACAAACAGCTGCTTAAGGAAAAATTTTAAATGAAACAAAAAGCTGATTAGTGGTTGGCTAGGGATGACCAATATACATATATTAAATGCTTACTATATGCCAAGCTCATGCAGTTAAAACACACAGCCATTGCTATAGTTGATTATACAGACTGGTTTAAATACTTGAACTGTTATTAATGAACTGGCAAATCCAACCTATGACCAAATATCATGCTTAAATTTTGTTTCTAAAATGGGCCTTCTAGGCCAGGCGCAGTGGGCTCATGCCTGTAATCCTAGCACTCTGGGAGGCTGAGGCGGGAGGATCGCTCAAGGTCAAGAGTTTGAAACCAGCCTGAGCAAGAGCGAGACGCCGTCTCTACTAAAAATAGAAAGAAATTAATTGGCCAACTAAAAATATATAGAAAAAATTAGCCGGGCATGGTGGCGCATGCCTGTAGTCCCAGCTACTCGGGAGGCTGAGGCAGGAGGATCCCTTGAGCCCAGGAGTTGGAGGTTGCTGTGAGCTAGGCTGATGCCACAGCACTCTAGCCCAGGCAATAGAGTGAGACTCTATCTCAAAAAAACAAATAAATAAATAAAAACAAAATGGGCCTTCTATATGATCTCACTTATATGTGGAATCTAAAATAGTTGAACTCACAGGAGCAGAGAGTAAAACTGGTTGCTATGGGATGTGGATGTAGTAGAAGTAGAGAGATATTGGTCAAAGGGTACAAATTTCAGTTATGAGTAAGTTCTGAGGTACTAATATATGGCATGGTGACTACAGTTAACTTTTTATTTGGAATTTGCTAACAGAGTAGCTCTTAAGGGTTCTGACCCTCCCCCCCCCACTAGCCACCCCAGATCACACACAAGGGAAGTAACTATGGGTAGTCATCAATGTGTTAATTAATTGTGTTAATTAATTTGGTTGTGGCAGTCATTTCACCACATATACATATATGAAATCATCTACGTTGTATATTTTGAACATATGCAATTTTTATTTGTCAATTATACCTCAATAAAGATGTGAAAAACCACAAAAAAATAAAATAGGCCCTCAATAATACACCAAACTTGATCATTATCATCTCTAGACCTTTGAAAGGTACAACACACTAACAAAGCAAGGCATGGATCCTGCTGAAGCTCACTGCCACCAGCTGGTCATGTTATCTTCATAAGTCATTTCACCTGATCTCTACCTTGTGTCTTCACTTACAAAACAATGGGCTGGAGAGAAAATGACCTTCACATTTCTTTCAAATTCTATTGCTTCAAGATTTTTACTAAAAAGATGTTAAACATAATTTGCTAGAAGGGAAAAGGACTGAAAAATGCATCCTAAAATAAACTTGTACTTCTTGAAATTGGGAATATCTTTTGACAATAGAAGATGTTTTCAAGAGGGAAGTTTTAAAATTACCCATGGATCCTAGATGACTTACCGGCAGAAGACTACATATTTATCAAATTCAAGTAGAGGAAATGAAAATGCCCACTGACTAACAGGTTGTTTATTACTGTTTTCCCCTCAAACCAAATATACGACAGAAATGCTTCTCACCCATAAATGTCAACCACCTTCTGGGGAGATCTTATCTTTTTCCTCTTCCTGCTGCTCCCCCAAGACTTGACAGTCTACAGCTATGGCAGTGGGAATGTTTGCTGCAAGTTCTATGAAATCCTTGTCTCATACTTGTCAGGAGCTACAGAAAAGAAAGAAGCAGGTTAGAAAGAAAGTTCCCTTTTTTTCACTACTCATCTAATCCATTGCCAAGGACTGTTGTTACTTTGTACAAAATATTTTTCTAATTCATTTATCACTCTCTATCCCGCAACAAGCCTCTTCCTAAATTCTGGCTGCTTTCCTTTCTCCCCTAGACTACATCTAATTGGTCTATCAACCTTTTGCCTACTTCAGTGTATCCCTACACTGCAGTCGTTCTAAAATACAAACCTCCCCAAACCTATTCCCAGCGTACTTTCCTTCCTAATACATCACCATCTAGTCATAAAGTGTCACCTTCTCTTGTTCACCAGTGAACTTTACTATCTGTTCCTTTTGCATGAAATATCATGTTCCCATTCTTTCACTGAAAAACTCATACTAAATTTTTAAGTATTGGCTCAGATAACACTTCCTCCTAACTCTCCAAATTTGATTAGCTACCCCTTTCCCAGTTGTTCCCTTAGCATTCTATTCTTTTTCTGTCTTGCTATGTATTGTATATAAATGACTTTTTAATTGTCTATTTCCTCCACTAGAGGATAAGCACTGTTGTAAAGATTATTTGAGTCTTATAACTATTGAATCATAGCAACGATTGCAGTTCCTGGTACACAGAAGGCATTCTACAAGTACTAAATGAATGGATAAATGAACAGGTTGGAATTGTGAGATGTGTGAAGGTTAGAAAATTTAAATTCCCATCCATTAACTTGTAAAATTATTTCAAATTAACATATTCAGAATACTGCGTGTGACTTATTTTAACGTGTTTGTCATGCATGTCTGTTATTTACCAGTTAATGTGTTAGAGTCAGTGATATAATGGTACAAGCAACATAGTCTCAACCCTTGTGGAGCCTATGATCTACTGGGGGAGGAAAGTAAGGGTATACTATATAAAATAAATAGGCAATCACAATAAGATGTGATAAGTGATATACAAGGGGAAATTTAGGGCACTGTACTTTACAGGTATGCTTCAGAAGGTCAGAGAAGGCTTCCAGGGAGAGGCACTATTCTTAGCAGCCACCTAATGGATTAGCAGTGTCATCCTGATAAAGGAAGGTAAAAACATTCCAAGTTGAGGGAGGTAGCATGTGCCAAGGACTGGAGGGGCCCAGACAAGAAATAAGGCTGGAAAGGAAAGCAGGAAACAGATCACAAAGGCCCTAAAAGTCAAGTTGAGGAGGCTGTATTTTATTAAGAAGGGAATGGGTAGCCACTTAACAGTTGTAAGCAAAGAACTAATCAGATTTGCATTTTCACTGCTTGTTCTGGCCATCCTGAGTTAGAGGCTGAGAGAAAAACTGGAGGAATAGACACCAGTTAAGAGGTGGTTAAAATGATCTAGTGAGAAACTAATGATGATCTAAATTAAAAAAGTATCAGTGGGCACGGAGAGAAAAAGGTATCTCTGAAAGCTACGAGGTGGTAGAATTGATACTACTGGGTGAGAAATAAGCCTAGAATAATTGACTTAAGTAATAAAATAACAGTCATCCAGTTCTCTGAAACAGGAAATACATGAGGCAATACATGTATTTGAAGAATACATGAGGTTTGAAGAAAAAAATAAATACATACAATTTTAGAGATCTGAGGCTCTTATGAGACATCTAAGTGGAAAAATTCAGTAGGCAGTTATATGAACATGGGAGAAAAAATCTGGGTGGATATGTTAGAAGTCTGATGCTGCTTTGATAGGACTAATCTGTTTTAAAACTACTTTATCTACGTAAGTGCTAAAATCGGGAAGTATTTTAAACCAGATAGGTAGATCCTGTCTATTTATAACACAATCAACTTGCTCATCCATAAGCAACTCTTCATCTATTCAAGTTATATCATGATAATGTAGCAATTCAGTTAAATATTCAAGATCCACTTCTAATTCTATTAATAATTCTCTTGCTATTTCTACCATGTCTGCAGGTAGTTCTTCCACTGAAGTTTTGAATATCTCAAAGTCATCTATGAGGGCTAGAATCAACTTCTCCCAAATGACTGTTCGTGTTGATATTTTGATCTGTTTCTATGAATCACCAATATTCTTAATGTCATCTAGAATGGTTAATCCTTTCCAGAAAGTTTTCAACTTACTTTGCTCAGATCCATCAGCGAAATTACTGTCTATAGCAGCTATAGCCTTATAAAATGTATTTCTTAAATAGTAAGACTTCCAAGTCAAAATACTCCTTGATCTACTGGCTACAGAGTAGATGTTGTTAGTAGGCATGAAAACATTGATCTCTTTGTATATCTCAATCAGAGTTCTTAGTTGACTAGATACATTGTCAAGGAGCAGTAATATTTTGAAAGGAATATTTTTTTTCTGAGTAGATCTCAACAATGGTTTTAAAATATTCAGTAAATCATCCTATAAACATATGTGCTGACATCTAGGCTTTGTTGTTCCCTTTATAAAGCAAAGGCAGAGTATATTTAGCACAATTCTTAAGGGCTCTAGGATGTTCTGAATGGTAAATGACCACTGGCTTCAACCTAAAGACACCAGCTCTATTAGCCCCTAATAAGACAGTCAGCTTGTTCCTTGAAATTTGAACCCAGGCATTTACTTCTTTCTCTTTCACTATGAAAGTCCTAGATGGCATCTCTTTCCAACAGAAGGCTCTTTTGTCTACACTGACAAACAACTGTTGTTTAGTTCATCAATTATCTTAGCCAGAGCTTCTGGATAACCCACTGCAGCTTCTACATCAGCACTTGCTGTTTCACCTTGCATTTCTACATTATGGTGATGGTTTCTTTCCTTAAACCTTACAAATCAACCTCTGCTAGCTTCAGACATTTCTTCACCTCTCTCTGCCTTCACGGAATTGAAGAGTATTAAAGGTTTGCTCTGGATTAGGCCTTGGCTTAAGGGAATCCTGTGGCTAGTAGTCTGACCTTCTATCCAGACTACTAAAACTTTCTCCACATGAGCAACAGGCTGTTTTGCTTTCTTATCATGCATGTATTCACTGGAGTAATAGTTAATTTCCTTTAAGAACTTTTCCTTTACATTCATTCACAACCTGGCTGTTTGGCACAAGAAGTCTAGCTTTTGGCCTATCTTGGCTTTGGACATACCCTCCTAGCTTAATCATTTCCAGGTTCTGATTTAAAGTGAGAAATGTGTGACTCTTCTTTTCATTTGAACACTTAGAGGCCACTGTAGAGTTATTAATTGGGCTAATTTCAATATTGTTGTTTCTCAGGAATAGGGAGGCCCAAGCAGAGAATGAGAGACAAGAGAATGGCCAGTTGGTGGAACAGTCAGAATACACACAATATTTAAGTTTGCTGTCTTATATGGGTGTAGTTTTTGGCACCCCAGAACAATTACAATGTTAACATGAAAGATCACTACAGACCGTCATTAAAGATATAATAAGAAAAAACGTTTGAAATACTGCAAGAATTACCAAAATGTCACACAGAGACACAAAGTGAGCACATGCTCTTAGAAAAATTGTACTAATAGAACTGTCTGACTCAGGGTTGAAATAAACCTTCAGTTTGTGAGACAAAGTCATAACATGTAACCAAAATGTTTGTACCCCCATGATACCCTGAAAAAAAAAAAAAGAACAAAAAAACCCAAACAAAAAACAAAAATAGTATTTGTGAAGCGCAATAAAGGGAAGCACAGTAAAATAAGGTGTGCCTATACTTATCAGGTTGCTGGGCCTAATCCCCAGAATCTGATTCAGTAAGTATGGAATGGGGCCCAAAAAGGTACATTTCTAACAAATTCCCTGGTGATGTTAAAAACTACTAGGATAGTCTATTTCAAAGCAAAAATCAACATTTATTTTTGCATATCACTTATACAACTCAATGCTACATTCCAGTCCTCCAAGTCATTTCTGTGTAGTTCTCATTCCTGTATCTATAAAGGCTATTACAAATCTTTCACTGACTCAGGGTTTCTCTTTCACATATTAAGTAGTCTTTGTGAAATTTGAGACCATTCATTCATTCCACAAATTCTATGAGTAACAGTATATTCTAGCCATACTAGGTGCCTGACATACAGAGAAGATATGTCTTGGCTCTCATTTAAGAATTCCAACCAAAGTCTAGAAAAAGAGGCAGGCAAACAGACACTAACTAGGACAATAACAGAGAGGTATATGGGATTGAAAGTTCTCAAATGCAACACATAAAATTTCAAAACTATCTCAAGAGAAAAGAATTTCAAATTCTCACACACACAAATCAATGAATAAGATTATTTTTCTCACTTTTTCCTGCAGCTAACAGATTTTCTCTAATTAACTTAACCATTTATGTAATTAAAAAAACCCCTAAAACATTATTTTAAAAACCTCAAATCTACCCCAAATCTGCAAAATTATTTTCCCACACTTACCAAATCACCTTTTTCTTACTTCATTATTACCCTTGGGAAAAAGTACAAAGTTCTTAGACCTAATAAAGCTCCAGCCTGTCTCCATCTCTGCAACTGTATAACCCACTATTCCCTAATGAAGTCTTTAATTACAGACCATCTTTCAGTCCTGCCTCTGTGCCTTTTCTCATGTACCTAAAACACTTACCTTGCTTACCAGCTATGTCCACTGCCCTAAGCTATCTGCCTTCACATTACAACTCTACTTCAACATTCTCTCTGAAAACTTAACTATTCCCAGTTCCCACTAAGTATTACCATTTTTAACCCTAACATTAACTGTCTGTGCCACTCAAGTCCTCAACCATGTGTGCTATAATTCCAGTCACATAAGTATACATTCTTTCCCCAACTTAAATAGAAGCCAGTAAAGGGAAAAGGGAAAGTGTCTTATCTTACACTTATTTCTTACAGACCCTGCCACGTACAAAGTGACTTTGATACCTAACTTAGTTTTCCTCAGGCAAAGTTCTACCATCACTCTGGATGTGTGGGAATATGGTATATGTAACTCTTCTGCTATAACAGTATCTCCAACTCTGCATCTTCCACAGATTCATATG